AACAGCAGTTTCAGTCGCTCTGCTTAGTTGGAAATGGAGGGACTTGCATCCACTAACACCAACACGCGTCCAGACCAGCTTTCTATACAAACTTGACTCTGAGCACAGCCAGCACAAGGGCTGGGTTATGTTATACTGCCATTCAAAGCCCCCTCCCTTTGGAACCTTGGTCAAAATGCGTTTTTGGTGTGTTACACCAGTTTTCTACTTGTTTCTGTCAAGGTTTGATGCCGGAAAAGACAACTACATAGACCTGATGGAGCTGAAGCTGATGATGGAGAAGCTTGGAGCTCCACAGACACACCTCGGCTTGAAGAACATGATCAAGGAGGTGGACGAGGACCTGGACAACAAGCTCAGCTTCAGAGAGGTAACACAGGAAAACTGGATTAGAATCAGTCACATTATGTGATATTCCCTTTTGTCTACATCCATATCTTTCTGTTCTTCCTGTGCCCCTCAGTTCCTGCTGATCTTCAGGAAGGCAGCAGCAGGAGAGCTGGCAGAGGACAGCGGCCTCTGCGCCCTTGCTCGCCTCTCTGAAATCGATGTCTCCACAGAGGGGGTCAAAGGAGCCAAGACCTTCTTTGAAGCCAAAGTAAGTTGACACCAAACTTTTCATAGTACGCTGTGTCACTGCAGTCAGTTTTAGAAAAAGAGAGATACTAAACATATGCACACAAAATTACATATGCATGCAAGTTACCTCTAGGTAAGCATCTAAGCATCAGGTCCTGTGTTCAGATCTTCTGAGGTTAACCATGTTTTCAGAGCCCAGTAGTTACGCATGACAATGGGAAACATAGACTTGAAGTTGCTATCCACAATGTTGTTGCTACCCACAGGATGCAGCTTCCTTACAAAGCCCTGCCTATAAGCCTTACAGGAAATGGTCCTATGAACCTGATTTTCAGCCTTTGGCTGAGGAACTGCACTGTGGCTATGCTCCGTCACCTGACAGCTGTGTTTCTTCCTGTTGGACAGGTCCAGGCCATCAATGAGTCCAACCGGTTTGAGGCAGAGATCCGCCAGGAGCAGGAGGCCAAGAAGAAGCAGGCGGAGGAGCAGAAACAGAGACGCGCCGCTTTCAAAGAGCTGCAGTCGGCCTTCAAGTGACCGCCCCTCTCTCCTCTTAGGACCCGTCACTCTCTGTGCTGCACTAATGTCGTCAGTTTGTCAATGTGTGTGTGTTTGAATGCGTGTGTCGGTGCGTGTCAGACAGCGGTAGTCCTGAGTCTCACACAGGCTCTCACATGCTGGTCACTAGTCTATGATACAACAGACTGAATACCTTCTGAAAAATCAGCCCTGTTTATGAAGATGGCAGATAAAGAATGATCTGTTCATTTAGCTCTGT